ATGAGCATATGAATTCAACCAATTTCGTTCTTCAATTGATGAAGTATAACACACCTCAAAGCAATACTGAGACTGAAATAGGAGTAAGTGCTCATACAGACAAGAGCATTGCTACTATACTCTACCAAAATCAGATAAACGGTCTTCAAGTTATGAACAAAAATGGACAGTGGATCAATGTTGAACCTACACAAGACACTTTTACCGTCATGATTGGAGACTCTCTACATGTAAGTTTGAGCACTATAATTTGATTTGTGAAAATTATTTTAGGCCAAATACATAAACAGATCTCTAAACTAGTTGGGTTTTTTCCCTCAAGATTTTCCTTTTGAATCATTGAACCACCCATAATTTGTTCCTTTTAAAAAATGTGGAACCAGATTTTATGAGGGGTATTGATAGATGATACATATATATGTTGTTCTACAACTCATTAGTCCAATTGATAGTGAAACTGTTCGAGAATAATTGTGTTTTACTTCAAGTCATTTGAACACATTAGAAAACAAATGAGACTAACACACAGTTTGTCTTTATTCCTTCCATCAAAATCATTACAGTACGAATAGAATATAAGGCATTTACAATAGAACAACCGATCAAAATCAACCAACAATGTTTAAAATGAACAAATTCATTCAATGATTCAATAGGAAAATGACGTAGTTAAGGTACCAGAAGGGAAAGACTCAACAAGTTTAGTATATAGAAGTTGAAACAATTACTTGTTTTTAATATCATATGTAGGCATGGACAAATGGTCGAATGCATGCACCATATCATAGAGTGATGATGAGGGGAAACAAAGCAAGATACTCAGTTGGTTTGTTTTCAGTACCTAAAGGTGACTACACAATAAAGGCACCAAAAGAGATGGTAGATGAAGAGAATCCTCTACTATATAAGCCCTTTGATCTTCATGGACTTCTTGCTTTCACCAACACTGAAGAAGGCATGAGATGTGAATCTGCTTTGAAGACTTATTGTGGACTTTAAATATGATTATATTTGGAACTAGTAGAATAAATATGCATGCTCCTAGTGAGTATATGCTTGTGTTTTAATTTTTATGTACTGGTCTGAGTAATAATATTGTTACACTAACTCAGAGAACCAGATTAATAAAAGTGGTTCAGTCTTTTTTTTTAAAAAAAACTTTCGGAATGATATTATTACTAGCACTACTATGTTTGGATGGTTATTATGTATTATTTCATAATGTATTCTTTTAATGAATACAATGTTTGAATAGATTGTCTTGTCTTTTGTTACGTAATGTCACACATCCATAATTTAGATGATAAACCTGTAAGAAAAGCAGAATACATCATAAAGAAATTCAAAGATAAAGTTACTATAAAAATATATTAAAATAAAAATAAAAGATAAAGACAGTATTTTATTAAATAATAAGTAAACACAAAATGCTATCATGATCCAACCCAACTACTCAAGTTTGAGAATTAGTAATCAAACTTGGACTCATATAATTTCATGATCCTACCCAAATATTCAAGCCCATACCTAATTTGTTTGTTATTTTCATTTGCAGTTCAACAGTTGCCCTAAGGATCTATTTTTTAATGTCGTAGTGAGGCGTGATCATTTGTCAATAACAATTTACTCTTTTTGGCTTTGATTTTTTTGATGAATTTCACTTTAATATGTATCAAAATTTGTTTTAGAAGAATCATTTTACCTAAAAAGAACCAAATAGAGTTATACTTACAAAAGATCAAACCAAACTAATTTGGTATAATACTCGATGTACATTTTTACATAATAAAATTTAAATAGTCCTAATTTGATGGAGATGAAATAAAAAAGAATATTAAAATAGCGGAAGATTTTATCAAACGCTTTAGAATGGGTAGAAAGATAAAATATAAATATGTCATTTTCATTTTTCACAAATCAATATAATAGACTAAATTTTTAATTATCTAATTTTCAGTTAATTATTAAGTACTTATCATTTAAGAATACAAGAAGTCGTTGTAGTATAGTGGTAAGTATTCCCGCCTGTCACGCGGGTGACCCGGGTTCGATCCCCGGCAACGGCGATACAATTTTTTTCTAATTTTTTTCTTTTTGGTTCCTTATAAGTTTAACTATATCGCTAACCTTCTACCCTAATTGATGTTCTATATCACCATTTGCATCGTGTCATATTTAATCATCTTTTTTCAATACTTCTTTGATCTACCATTTCCATTCTTGTTACGTCATCCATATTTAACCTCTCGCACTTCATTTTAATGTGTTGCACATGTCCAAACTATCTCAGTCTCGTTTTCTATATCTCGTTTTCCATCGAAATCACTCCTACAAAAAGACAAAATCACTGCACTTAATTCAAATGAATGATTATTAGAAACATTTTGGTTTAGCCAACTAATCATAATTAACCGGTGCTAACGATGACCACTTTTTGGTTGGCAAACAAAATTGTTTGGTTAATTGATTTGGTTATCGTGTTTAAAGCATATTCCATTTCGTAAACCTCCAAATTCTGAAAATATGTAATGCCAAAATAACAGAACCAATCAATGCAAAGTTAAGGCCAAGAATTAATTAGTATATGTCAATTCAGTTACTTTCAAATTTGAATAAGACATAGTACATACTATTTCTAATTTTTATGCCCCATAATTCCATAAATCAGTCCAAATGAATGAATGATGTAATAAAGTTTTAACTTCTTCTCCAAAGTGTTATATGAAATAAATTCGATTTTCAATACAAATATTGACATATATTATAATCACTTAACATAAGTTACAACGTATAATATACTAATTAAGGAGAGATTAACAGAGAAAGAAAGTAACCAAAAAAACATGAGAAACAAGACCACAAAAGGGAGATAAGAGATATCATAATACCAAAGCTTCGACATATATAGTAGTTTGGTTGATCGTTCTATTTAATCTCTAGTTCTTTTTAACAACGATTGATTGGGTTTAAATTTTAATTAAAAAAAATGAAAATTTTCAGTATTTTCTCCATTCAATAATACCGACCTTATTTACCACGTCTAACTCATAGATCCTTATAGAGCTAACGATAGTATCACTTATTTATTTTCATTGTTTTGGAGTCATTATTCTGCTATTATGCTTATTCTGTACCTTAAACTAAAATAAAATTTAAAAAATAATCAATTTTATACATTACTAATGTAAATTATAGACTAATACTAGCAAACAGCCGGACCAAAACAAACAAAATCATTACGGTAGAGGGTCACAAGGACGTACATCACATCAAACCTTTTATTTAATGTTATTTGATATTATGGATATCATAACTTATTTTTATGTAACATAAGCAATAATTCATAAGACTCATAACAAATATGATTAATGATTTCTAACATATTCCATTCATGATATTGTTTTCTATTACATATAAAACAAAAGGAAAAGAAAAAAATGTTGGCAGCTAATTTATGAGTCAGTATGGACAGAGGGGTTGCTCTGATCACAATTGCTCTTGCTTTTAAATTTTAAATTAAAATTATGTGTTCGAATCAATCACCAAAAAAGTAAAATAATAAAAGTTAGAGGGGTTAAAAAAACAAGAAAAAAAGTCATTTCACGATGAAAACATAACTTTTGTGTATATTATAACTATGAGTTTTGACTTATATTTTCTCTCTTTTAAATTTATGTCACTTGATAAAGTATTTAGCGATTTCTTATCTAATAAAAACTTTAATATTTTTTTGCAATTATTGAGATTAGTATCGTATTTTGTGATTTATTATTTTTTAAAACGCATTTTTTTTTTTGGATAATAAATAGTACAAGAAAATTTTAAATGTCACCAAAATGGACAAAAGGAAATAAAGAAAAGACGGTCAGTCACATATTTACTTTCACTCATACCCTTTTCTAATTTCACTCTCTAATAGTTCAATTAAACAAATTTAACTAAAGGATGTCAAAGTTTTTGTATGTTTTTATTGAGATTAAAATGTCCATATCAACATGTATTTTAAAGACGAAGACATATTTCGATACATGAATACACATGGCTATTAAATTATCGTATTAAAATTTATACATTAAAAACTTTTTATTTTGCATTATTTCATTGTATACAACTTGTCTTTATTTAAAAATTCTCAATTATTAAAAAATGGTCTAGCTATGTTGAATAATTGTTTTAATTAAAAATTGCTATAATTTTTTGTCATGATTTACGAGCATGGATCCATAATGAATGAGTTTTTTTATACTATTACTGACTATTTAATACTATCAGGACAAAAGTAAATATTATTTAATACTAGAGATAATTATGAGAAAACCTAAAATATAATTTGCAAAAAGGTCCATTTATAAGGTCAGTACATATGCATATTACACTTTGTTTAACGTACAATATATTTTAAAGAGCCGATAATATTACACGTTTTCATCCCCTTTCTAGACATTTTTATCAATAAGAATTCACAATATTTCTGGAGAATTTTATATGAAGATTTTTTTTTTCATTTAAAAGGACTAAAAAGAGATAAAAGAAAAAAAATAATCACATACATTCACTCACGCAATTAATTACTTCCACGATCAACTCTCTCTTTTTAATTTTTAGTATTTTAGTAAATATGTATAAGCATATAACTAAAGCATAATTTTCGATCAGAGTAAAAAATCAATTAGGAAAATCTTGTTTAAACGTTATTTTTGTTGTTATTATGATTATTATTATTTTAAACTTCATTTTTTTTATTATTGTGTTTTTTTGTTTGAACATGTTTTGAAATGCTTTACTTAATCAATTGAGGTACATCAAGAACAACTCTATCTTCACACTATGTAAGAGTATGGTCTGTATACACGACAATTATAAGATTACACTGAATATATTATTATTTACGCGCTATTTTAGTCCATTTAATGATTTTGCTTATATCCTTACCAACCTATTTTAGAAATTGGTTGTGTAGTTTATAACATAAAATTTCTCCTCTTCAACCAAATTGCTATTCCAAATTCTATATAAATAGGTTCAACTACAAAATGAAATTATGCACACCAAACAAAGACACTTGAGAGTTCTCTCTTTATAGAAAATATGGGTTCTGAAAATATGAAGCTTCCAAAAATAGACTTTTCTCATGAAGATCTAAAGCCAGACACACTTGTATGGAATCAAGTGAAAAGCCAAGTACACAAAGCATTAGTAGAATATGGTTGTTTTGAAGCTTCCTTTGATAAAATTCCAATACATCTTAGAAAATCCATTTTTGAATCCTTACAAGAGCTTTTTGATCTTCCTTTACAAACCAAACTTAAAAACATTTCAAAAAAACCATTCCATGGCTATGTTGGACAATATCCTCAAGTTCCACTCTATGAAAGTATGGGCATTGATGATGCTAATATTCCTCATAAAGCTGAAAAATTCACTCAAATTCTGTGGCCTCAAGGAAATCCTACTTTTTGGTAAAAAAAAAAATTCTTATCCATTATTAGTAGTGTTAATTAATTTACTATAGACCTTTTTTTTATATTCAAATCGATTAATTTAGATTCGTGTTTAATCACTTTTAAAGGATAAATGGTCTTCCTACATGTCGTGTCTCTATTTTCAGGACTCGAAACAGATAGCTATAGTTAATTAGTAGAGGTAGTGTGAAATTTCGCCGAGAGAACTCAACATTTACTATATATACATAAATAATCGTATAACTTTTTATACGAGGAATTATGATCCCACATATTTCTAACAAAAATGAAAAAAAGAAGATATACGTGTGAAAATTCACTAGATATTTTAATAAATATAAAATTTCAAACTTAAATATTTGAATCCACCTCCATAATACCAATTTGTAGTGGTGTATAGATGTCATATATTATTAATACCTTATTTCTTTAATGTTGTAAATTTATTATGTGTATTTGACAGCAAGACTATTCAGTCATACTCAGAGCAACTATCAGAATTAGATCAAACAATAAGGAGAATGATTGTGGAGAGTTTAGGGGTCGAAAAATACATGGATGAACATATGAATTCAACTAGTTACCTTCTTCGAGTGATGAAGTATAAAGGACCCCAAAGCAGTGAAACTAAAGTAGGACTAAATGCTCACACAGACAAGAATATTGTTACTATATTATATCAAAATGAAGTGAGTGGTCTTGAAGTTTTGACCAAAGATGGAAAATGGATCAATGTTGATCCTACACCAGACACTTTTACCGTCATGATTGGAGACTCTTTATACGTAAGCTCTTTCAACATTAACCTCCTTGTTAATTTAAAATTAGTCATAGATATTTCTCGTTTACGTGACTTTAACAGGACATTATCCTTTTAAATAAAGAAATGTGAGCATTCTTATTAGATTATAAACATATTTTTTTTTACTTATATACTAACTAAAATTTTTAATAAACAAATATCATCTGCACACCCTTCAATTCAACTTATTTTAACGAGTTGTGATTTAGCTTGGGATATGAAAAGTGTGATTGTTTTATACGTAGGCATGGGCAAATGGTCGATTGCATTCTCCGTATCATAGAGTAATGATGAGAGGAAATGAAGCAAGGTATTCAGTTGGATTGTTTTCAATACCTAAAGCTGGATATACAATAAAGGCACCAGAAGAGTTGGTAGATGAAGAACATTCTTTACTCTTTAAGCCCTTTGATCATGTTGAATTCCTTGATTTTTACTATACTGAAGAAGGTCAAAGATGTGCATCTGCTTTGAAAACGTATTGTGGTGTCTGAATTTAATTTAATCTACTTTGATTATGTAAAGGAATAAACATGTACGTACTTCGTTCACTTTTATTTATCACTCGATTTTCGACATATTTGTGTTTTGTGTTTGTTTAACATACTTTGAAAAATGATTTTGTCCAAAAAACACAATATCGCCGTTGCCGGGGATCGAACCCGGGTCACCCGCGTGACAGGCGGGAATACTTACCACTATACTACAACGACTTGATGATATTATCAGATCACTGCTTTCTATAATAAATAATAATTCTCTCTTTTCATCATTATCTCATCCCGTGCAATGATAATTTGTTTGTGAAATTAAAAATGGCATAACTATATTTAATCTTTATAATATTCTGAGTCATTGAAAAGAAGCAATTGTATACTTTCTTTTGTTTCTATCTAGTTTTTCACTTAATCTAAGCAATTCTTTTTAATTAAGGTTCAACTAATTCAAATTTAAATTGGAAAGTCACTTTGAGTGTTAAGCATTCCTTGTCAAAATTAATTTGATATTCAAAGCTCACATCTAAATATTATGAGTAAAGATAGGATATCATTCAATCACAATCTTTGGTGATGATAAATTATGTTAATTATGTCAAAATTAATTATTCTAAAATAAAGCATTTAAATTAACGACGAAAAATATCTTGCTTCAATTTTTTTTCTAAAGGTTACTATTAAAAATGAAAACAACACTTTATCTAAGCATATTTTTGCGTAATAGGGCATTTTTTTACCCGATAAAAATAGCCACAAAGACATAATTAGATCAAATTATTAACGAAGACATACATAATAAAGAAAAATTGTATATAATAGCAAATTATTAATTTAAATTAAATGTTATAAATATACTTTTATTTAATTGTAACCTATAGCAAACTATTGTTATTTTCGCCTCTCTCCATGATGGAATCTCACTCACCACTCTCATTTGGTGGCAGTGTCGCTCGCCTCTCTCGCTTTTATACAAACACAAACGTACAATAAAATGTGTTTGTGTTTGTATAAAGAGAGAGGAAGTTGTGTGTGTGTGTGTATATATATATATTCGTTCCCCTCTTTCCTCTCTACCATATCTCGCTCGCTATCCTCACCTCTCTCGTTTATACAATCAGAAACGAAATATATAAATTGTGTTTCTGTTTGTATAAAGTGAGAGAAATTTGTATATACACATGAAAATACATATATCTTCGTCCTATACACTTATAATTATACAATACAAATATTCATCTGTTCAGTTTTCTTTTGTCTTTTGTCTTTTTCTCTTTCTCCTTTTATATATACACAAATTATACAATTGATCTTTTGTATACAACTACTTTCTTTTGTATGTGTATAGCGAATTATAAAACTGTTTTCTTTGTATACATATAGCGAATTATACAATTACATTTTTTTATATATATAACGAAATATATATATTTATGTTTGCTATGGAGCATAATTATACAAACTATAACTATATTTGCTATATATGAAAGTTACTAAATAATAAATTTACAATTTTCCGAACATTTTAAACCCTTTCCGAAGTCCAAAATGAATGGTGCGTACTTTTCGTAATACATAGCCAAAAAGAAGAATAACCAAAACAAAAAGAGAAATGTCACCTAGTGAACCACTTGAAGAACAAGAAAGGCTAAACAAACAAAGTAGAGAAATTTTTTTGTGATATCCCTTCATTTTTTTGCTGATGGTTAGTTAATAAATATTAGATAGCCTTCTAATTTCTAAAAGTTTATCATGAAGTTATAGACTATAATATGCAACAAAGGGACAAAAAGAAGCACTAGAAGTGAAACAAAATTAAAAGTATAAAAGGACCTAATCTTCAACATGTGATCAATCTAACCAAAAAAAGGAGTTTTCTCAATTTAAATGAGGGAAAAGATAGTAAAAGTGGATTGCCATTTCGAGCAATAAATTCAACTTTAATCAAGTAGTGGAAAATGGAAGGAATTGAAAAGATGGAGTGATTAGACATTAGTATAATTTTTGATATTATCAAATCAAGCTAATAAAAAAAGACTTCAATTCATTTTCTTAGTATGATTATATTGAACAAATAAAATCTTTTTCTTCTTCTTCCTTTTTTTTTTTTTTGATAAAATTGGTCAATATAAGCAATTCAATTAGCTCTATTCGTTAAAGTTTAAACGAATTATATTTTTATGAACTAAAATGTGATAAATATGGAATAGACGTGAAAAATACGCCAGCCTTGGGCAGTTTTGGGC